ACTTCATGACTGCCCCCAAGGAGTTCATTGTCTACGTGGAAAATTCCGAAGTTGCAGGAAAATATTTCCATTTTATCCACATCTCATTTCCACATCCACCTCTTGGACTACGGTCGAAATTTTATGACTATGGCTTCTTCCCTGGGCTTTACGTTGTCCTCCACTGAGATGCAGATAGAAAGTTAACACCCTTAGACTTATCAGTTTTATCCTCATATACTGTAAGTTACCTGCCTTTTCCTGAGAGCTGCTTCTGCCGGAGGCAGTGGCAGGAAGATTCTAAGAGAGGGTGAGGCCAGGTGCCTAGGAGGAGAGCAGCAGCAGAAAGGGAGCACTAAGGACACAGAAGGCAAGCCAACCCTTTCCCAATTTTACTTAAGGCTTCAGCAGGGAAAACTCTATGAATACAATTGCAAATAGAACATCTTTCTAAAGTACATAAGCCCAGAGCTGCTTTAGGTGATGTTACAATTGGAGCCTGGACCTCTGCCCACTATACTTGTTTTTCTAGTCCCCAAGACATCACAGAGTTCTAAGGTGTCTTGGACCCTAAAGGTCCAGGAAAGATGCTTTGAAAAACACTGGCCTATTAGAAGTTGCTGTTGTGAAAGAGATTTTCTTATCTATAAGAACGATTTTTTCTCTTAAACCTATAATCAAGGATTTAATATTTCAGAGGTTAATTTCTAGATAGGTGGTTGGGAGATAAACTGGAAAAGAAAGGTATTATTGATTGTTGTTTTTCGGCCAGATTCTTTGTACTATTAAGATCTTGATTTTCAAATAACATGGAGCTTAAGCCCAGAGGCTAAGGGAGTCTCACAGCTCCATAGATAGAAGCACTGCTTGAGAGCTGTACAAACCCAGACATTCCCTTCTCTCCATCTCCTGTTGCTGCTTCTTTCTTGCTGCAGGTGGGTTTATTCTGTTCTAAGCCCATTTGAAGGAAATGGTCTCAGTACTAATTCCAATTTATATCTTCTCTGTTCATGAAACCAGCCAAACCAATTCCAATTTAAGTTTTCTAGAAAGTACTTTGCTCAGCCCAGTTGAGCTGATTATTCCCATCATTCTGATTGTTCCCGTCAGAATAATCTGTGTGACAACTATGCTATGGTTAGGACAAGTTTCAGAAAAGGAGACAAAACACTAGACAACTTCACAATAGTTGTCCAGCACTTTCTTCCTGGAAACCCATGCCCCGATACAGCAATGATGAGCCGATTCTCCCTATCACTTCCCAACTCCATATTCAGTGATGTCATCTTAGTAGCCTGAAATCAGCCAGGAGGGGAGTATTTATACCATGAAAACTGGCAAATGCTACACATCAGGGCTTTTTTTTTTCAGACAGCCAATTTACCAGCACACCAGTCAGATAAGTCCCCTGTGATTTGATTGGAGACAGCCACATTAACATCCACCCACACACTGTGAAGTACTGCAGATAACCTGGGTGTCCTTTTCTTCATAAATATCTTCCTCTAGAAGGAACCCAAGTAAACATGCTCACCCAAGTATTTTTATGTGTTTAAGAAAATAAAGTTAGACTTGTGCATCGCCATGGGTCCAGTGACCGCATTCCTGAGCATTTAGCGTAGTATTTCGAGCATCTCAAGCATTGTCCACCATCTTCATTACAAGGTTAGATATAGGTTAGAAGAATCTTAAAAATTATCCCCTTTCATAGTAAAAATTAAAAACAGCAAGTAGAGAAATCCAGTACAGAAGGTGTGAAGTGGTAGAAGTTACAAAAGCACTCTCTGGGATACCGCAGGAGCTCTACAAATGTTTGGGAATGTATGAAGAAAAGAAATGAAGTAGAAAGAGGAAAGGAGGTATGGGGGTGGGAAGGGGGAAGGACAAAACATAAACCAAATAATGAGATGACAACCAACAAGACAACCCTCCACTGAGATAATAAGCAAAAGACATTAAATAATAAGTATAAAAGCATTCATTCACTCAACAAATGATATCAAGTGCCAAACATATGGCAGGGACTTGGCATAAAAAAGTCCATAAGACATGGTCCCTGCCTCAAGCACTGTACAGTTTGGTAGAGAGAGTCAAGTAAATTGACATTTCAATACTGGTAAATGCTATGATGAGTTAACTACCCCATGCTGAGGGAGATCATAGAAAGGCTTCTAATCCAAAGTTGAAAGTCCCAAAAGGTCACACTTCCAAAAAAGGAACATCTAAACCAAGACCTGAAGAACAAATAAAAGCTCCTTGAGTGAACAGGGTGGGGCAAAGGGCATTTCAGGTGGAGGAGAAAGTATATAAAAAGGGTTTAGTGTTGAGTGGAAATAGGCAATGATGGATTTAACAAGTTCTGACTAGCTCAGGATAGCGTCCAAAAGAAAGCTGGAGATGTAAGTCAAACCAGGCAATGAAGGTCTCGCATAGCCTTCTCAGAACTGGGACTTTGAGGGCAAAGGAGAACCACCAAAGAATTGAAAAAAGATATCACTTTAGAGTAAATCAGGGAGTCCTGTTCATTTTATCTCCTGAATCGCTCTCAGACTGGTCTAGCCCTCTCCATGACTTTTCCAACTGGATTGACATGACATCTCCAGCTGGCCTCCTTGGCTCCACTCTGTCCTGCCTCTACACTTTTTCACATGGAAGGCAGGGAGACCAGCTGGAGATCATTGCAACAATCTTGTTGAGGGACTACTTTGGTGAAGAAGAGAAGTGGTCCAATCTGAGAGCCATTCAGGAGATCGAATAAGCTGGGTTCGGTGAGTCACAGGACTTGGGGCAAAGGAGTCAGGTTTCCAGGCTTCTGAGTTGGGCAGCTGGGTGGATAGTGGTGCTCTTTACTTTAAAAAGAAATAAAGAAAAAATAGGTTTACCAGGTAGTATGGTTTGGATATTCATCTCCTCCCAATCTCATGTTGAAATGTGATCTCCACTGTTAGAGATAGGCCTAGTGGGAGGTGTTTGGGTTATGGAACTGGACCCCTCATGAATGGCTTGGTGCCCTCCTCCCAGTCATGAGTGAGCTTTCGCTGTTAATTCACATGAGAGCTGGTTGTTTAAAGGAGCCTGGCACCTCCTTTTTCCTGTCTTGTTCCCTCTCACCATGTGACAGGCTGCTCATCCTGCACTTTGCATCTTGATTGTGAGCTTCCTGAGGCCTCACCAGAAACTGAGCAAATGCTACTACCATGCTTCTTGTGCAGCCTACAGAATTGTGAGCCAAATAACCCTCTTCTCTTTATAAATTGCCCAGCCTCAGATATCCCTTTATAGCAATTCAAAGTAGACTAACACAGTAGGGTAGATCAGGAGTTTTTGTCCTTGAGGTGCTATGGGACATCCCAGTAAAGATATATAGTTTATTCAAAAAGATTTATAGTTTATCCATATATATAAAGATTAAAGATATATGGAGATATAAAGACATATATATAAAAGATTAAAGATATATCTTAAAGATTATATATAACTTAATAGTTATCAAGTTTATTCAAAAAAGACAGGTCACCATGATTTATACTTTTTATGTTGTGTTTTGAGATGGTTAGTAAAAAACATTGCTTTTCCCCCCATCAAATGAGGCATGGGCATAAACAGAAGTAAACTACCACCTCTGATGATTGAGACATGCTCGGGAGACTCAGGCTGCCAATGTTTCATTCCTGATTTAGAGGGAGGGCCCAATGATCCCTGCCACCTGGTATTCATGTGCTTGTGTAGCCCTGTTCCATGCTGTATATGGCTGACTCATAGGACTAATAGGATACTGTGAAAATGACAAATGTGACTTCTGAGGCTAGGTCACAAAAGACATTATGACTTCTCTTGCTCTCTCATGAATCTCTCTCTCTGGGGTAAGTCAGTTGCCAGGTCATGAGGTTACCCAAGCAGCCCTGTGGAGGCACTCTTACGGTGAGGAACTGAGGCCTCCTGCCAGCAGCCATGTGACTGAGCCACCTTGGAAGCAGATCTTCCAGCCCTCAAGCCCCCAGATGACGGAAGCCCCAACCCCCTTGACTACACCCACATGAGAAAGCCTGAGCAGAACCACTCCTCTAAACTTCTAAATTCTCAACCCACAAAAACTGAGATACTATATGTTTATGGTTTTAAGCCAACAAGTTTTGGAGGCAATTTGTTACACAGCACCAGATAAGTAATACAGAAACTTACATGCCAGGTCACAGCAAATATACTGGAGAGCTGTAGGCCTCCCCACTGGGGCCTTCCCCTATAAAACTCGAGGCAGTTTTTCTCAGACTCCCACAGGCAACAGAATCATCTGCTAGGCTTACTAAAATACAGATTACTGGGCCCAACCCAAGAGTTTCTGATTCGATAGATCTGAGGCAAAATCAGAAAATGTGGTATTCTAGAGCAAGTTCCAGGGGTTTCGGGGCTGATGAAAACGATGTGACCGTGAGAGGGCGGTAACACACAGCAAGCTTGATTTGGGTGACACTGAGAAGTCTGCTCCTGGGGGAGTTTCTCAGAGCATGAGACCATTCCGAAGAGAAAGAGGACAAGGGAACTGCCGAGAGAGAGGGAATCAGAGGGGAGAACTACAATTACTAATTGGTGCCCTCAGTAGCCCAGCAAAGTCTCTGGGTCAATGAGCTCCCGAGGGCAGCAGACCTAGGAGTCTTGGTATAGATGCAGGATTTCTCCTATCAATGGCTAGCAGATGTCAGGTGCAGTTTCACAGGGTATGCAAAATAAAAAGGCTCTAAATGGCTAAGACCCTACTTATCTGGGCTATGTTTAAAACAACTGGGTGTGTAAACATTGTGTTTGGCACTGCTGGGCTTTTGAGCTCACTGCTCCCAGCCTCCTGTGAGGGAGTAAAGAGGCCCAAAATACAGAGGCCATCTTTGGCATTTATGTAACAAATTTTCACGTCTCCAGGTGCTGGTACTGTTGGCCCAAGAACACATTTTGAGGAACCACTAATGTGTGCTTATGGGCAGGATGGCAGTGGAGAAGAGGGTGAGGCTCAGTGTCTTCTCCCAAATTTTCATATTAAATAAAACCTCTTTCCCCAGAGAGAAGTAACAAGAGAGGCAGAGGGAAATGATTCTAACAGAAGTTCTAGCCACATGGAAGGAAGCATTAGCAGTGAGGAATAATGGTTCTCTCCCTAAACATACCACCCAAGGTAATGATTCTACATCCTAAGAAAATGTATTTTTCACAGGGGCATTTTTTTTCATTGTTTAGAAGAAGGAACTCCAATGAGGACCGTCTGGTTTTCTATAAACAGAAACCAGTTTCATTATTCTGACAAACAACAGCACTTTGCCTGCGGGTGGTAAAAGCTGTTTATATATCCTTACCTTAATTAAGTCATCTCTGACTAAAACTGATTATCTCACAAGTGTTCTCAACAGACTTTCTTTAAAGAATTCTAAGAAATACATCTATTTTAGTGTTATAGAAGGTGTGTAAATTGAAATCTAATACTGAAGCTGTTTCCTTTAATTCCATTTTGAGTTGCTTTTATTTCTCCTTTATAACATTCATGTTCCCGTAATTATCCATTCTTTCAATCATTATTTATCTAGTCTTAATGACTATGTTCTGTGCGTTAAGAACAGCCCTGGGTGCTTTGAGATGATAGAATTTAAAGCCAGAGCTAAGACTAAAAAACAAAAACAGAACAAAAAAAATTTTTTTTTTTTTTTTTTTTTTGAGACGGAGTCTTGCTCTGTAGCCCGGGCTGGAGTGCAGTGGCCGGATCTCAGCTCACTGCAAGCTCCGCCTCCCGGGTTTACGCCATTCTCCTGCCTCAGCCTCCGGAGTAGCTGGGACTACAGGCGCCAGCCACCTCGCCCGGCTAGTTTTTTGTATTTTTTTTAGTAGAGACGGGGTTTCATGGTGTTAGCCAGGATGGTCTCCATCTCCTGACCTCGTGATCCGCCCGTCTCGGCCTCCCAAAGTGCTGGGATTACAGGCTTGAGCCACCGCGCCCGGCCCAAAAAATTTTTTTTTAATTGTGAGAACTTATATGAAGAAAACTTGGTTACTGGGAGCTTTTGATAAACTCTATTGATTTCAGCTATTTTGTTTTCCTTTCTCCCTCCATTCACATTTAAGGGAACTAATACTAAATTAGCACGAAGAGCGCACGCCTGTGATCTCAGCTACTTGGGATGCAGAGGCAGGAGGATCACATGAGCTCAGAAGCTCAAGCCCAGCCTGGACAATATAGAAAGACACAGACTAAAAAAGAAAAAAAGAAGGGAAAAAATTAGCATGAAGAATTCCAGGGAGACAAGACAACAGAGCCACTTTCCTAGCCAAGAAAAATCCCAGTTTGCAGTTTACTGAATAGAAGTGTGCCACCTGACAGTAGTTTTAATGACTGACACTGAACCTTTTGTGAGTTTTGCACTTCTCTTGGCTGAAATCTCCAAACTGGCTCAAAGAAGCTCCAGCCTCTTCATTCTGTAAGTGTTGATACTATTTGCATAACTACCTGTCATTATCCCCTACCAGGTGCCTCCTTTCCAACCTTGAACGTTTCTTCTTGATTCATTATAATTAAAGAGCTAATGTAGCCATTCAAGTTCACATTGTCAATGACCATGTAATCATCTTCCCTAGTGGCCAGAATTCCTTTCTTTTTATGAGGTTACGATTAAATTCCCTCCAGCCATAAGGTCAAAAGAATCTGGAACAGTTAGCCTTCCCAGTGACTAATTTCACACCTGTGACTCTGACACATAAAATAAGACCTCTTAAATGGAAGGTGTCAAATTAAGAAATAATATACATTTGACTACACCTGAACTGAAGTCAATTAGATGTAAAAATTAAAGACGGTGGCTTCTTTTCCTGTTACTGGAAGTGACGCTTGACATTCTACTTATCAATTTAAGACATCCGTGTCCCTTAGAAATGTTAAGGTAATTTGTAAGTTGGAAAAGAATTAAAATGGCCCAAAGCCTCAGGGAGATTAAGATAACGTGTTCATGTCTGTTCTGTGTAAAAATTTGTCTATCACTTTATTTTTTTCCCCTTCTCAAGATTTAAGTTTTTCTAAAATAGATTTTATTTTTCTGCTATTGAGGCTTCTAATATTTTGTTAAGAATTACGTGTATTATTTTGTTAATAATCACTACGCACAGCTAAATACCATGAGCCAATTTAGCCTCCGACTTCCAAAATGTAACATTGACCAATGGAGCTGCCTTTTATTTCTGTCATCTTGAAATGCACTGTGGACCTTCCCCTTCACCTACAGCTTTTAGTGATTCTCAATTTCACAAGTCACACACCACCACCCCCAACTCCTTATGCCTTTATCCTCCTTTCTCCTCTAAGAGTTGCTTCGAGCAACAAGGCTATTTACTGGGAGCTTTGCAAGTCTAACTTCAATTGGAAGTCGTTGTCGAGTTTCTATCAGGGCACTTTGAGTGGACACCCAATTAAGAGACTGCTTATGGCAGCCACAGTGCCCCTTCCCTCATGGCTGTAAGGGCTCCTGGAAAAGTGAGGAGTGTGACCCACTGCCAGAAACCTCCAAACCTGCAGTTCAGCTACCCTGAGTTTCTGGGAAGCCAAAGTGAGCAGCTCGTCAGGAACAAAGGCAGATTTCCTTTATTCAAAAACATCCAGGTGATGACTCCAAGTCCTATAGAATAACCAAGATGCAATCCTTGCACTTCTTGAAGTTGTTGTTGGTACCTCTTGGTCTCACAAGAAAAGTAACTGTTGCCTTTTATGGTAGCTATCTGTTGTTACTGCCACCCAGGATCCATTCACTTTTTGATAGCTATACTTTGATTTCCCTTGGGTAACCATGCTTTTCTCACTCTCAGCTCAGATGCTTTGGATCATATTTTGCATGCTGTGGAGCACATACACCCAACTAAGGAGACAGTGGACTGAGGAATATGAGGTCTGGTTCCATTTCTGTAGCACAAAAAGAGAAATGTCCAAGAATATGGCCAAGGAAAGCAGAGATCAGAAATGAAAAAAAGTTCCTGTTGATGTTGAGTTCCTTCATCAAGCTGCACCTGAAATAAACCCTACTTGCAATCGATGAATTCATTCATTCATTCATTCAGAAATATTTATTAAGTATTTCTAGGTATCATCCCCTCTTCTAGAGCCAGAGGCACAATGTAGTCCTTACTCTCAAAGCATTCACCAACATGTAAAAAAGCAACAGCCATTCAATGTGATAAGCATTGGCACAGGGGCATTACAGAGCTGTATGTGGTGCTCCCAGAACAGCAGCTCAACTCAAAGAAGGGAATCTGTGTCCTAGAGGAAGAAGAGTTTGAAATATTTGGTTGAAGTTTTCATATAGACTGATTATTTCAAATGACACAGTACCACGCTGATGAGCTACCCCAACATTTGACATCTCAGTTTTTTGTTACCTATTCCTGAATAGTGATTTTCTCCTCCAGGCCATCCCTTCCTATATCACATTCATGAGCTTAGATTTTACCTGGACCTTCTGTACCTTTTAAATAAAGAGCCAAACACTCCACTTTCTAACCACCATACCAATTTTTCCAGTTCTTGCACTCAATACTTCCTCTAGGTCATAGACCCCTCTTGTCACCACACTCTGTCTTCATGTCTTTCCCTACCCAGCTAGAGTCCTTTGATCTTTACTTCCACTCTTATCAGTATTTTCCCTTAGCCCATTCCTTTCAGCCTCAACAACCTGGCATATCATGTATCATGTATTATTCCAGTTATCTATTTAATACTTTCCCTTTTCTACAAACTGTAGACTATAGGAAGGGAGAATCTTCTTTATAACCATTGGATCTCCAGTGCCCAGTATCACTGTGACTGACAAACAGCATGCAATTATATTTGTTCATCCAGACACATTTTTAAACAAATCTATTATAGTGTGCTGAGTGCCTGGAATTGGGTTATCAGAAGTAAGTCCTTAGCTCTTTTCTCATGAAGTTTACAACCTATTAGGTTTGAGAGCTAAGGAGGTGGCAGTATTGCATTGATCAGGACATGGTCCCAGAATTCCAATCAGTAACAAACAGCAAGGAGAGTTGTGTCCATTGCAGAGGAGCTGAGGAACTTGCAGTTCAGAGAATTAGTTGCCAAGTAAACAACTCACAGACGAACATATGATAAATAATTTATTTTCCAAATGTATTGGAGAAGTTGCCCCTTGAAGTCAGGGGCTTGACACTTATTATATAGATACCATGAATTGATGAAGGATCATAAAAAGAATTAAGTCTTGATGTGTTGCCTTCAGGACAGGGCAATGGGAGTTATAACAAAAAAGAAAGTGACAACTCTTTTTAAAACAATGTTACGGGCCGGGCATGGTAGCTCACACCTGTAATCGCAGCACTTTGGGAGGCTGAGGTGGGCAGATCACAAGCTCGGGAGTTTTAGAGCAGCCTGTACAACATCTACTAAAAATACAAAATTATCTGGGCATGGTGGTGGGCGCCTGTAATCCCAGCTACTCAAGAGTCTGAGGCAGGAGAATCACTTGAACCCCGGAGGCAGAGGTTGCAGTGAGCAGAGATTGTGCCACTGCACTCCAGCCTGGGTGACAGAGCAAGACTCCATGTCATTAAAAAAAAAAAAAAAAACACGTTACTCATCTGAAATCATTTTCAACAAGTCCTACCGGGCACATGCATTTTGTCTTCCTCAGGGATTTTCCTGGCATTGAACCTCTCAAAGACACAAAAACACTGAACACTAACAATGGAAAAGGAACATATAACATATTTGATGAAATTTGTAGATTACAATAAACTGGCATAATGTGCAAAGACCTCAGAATGACAGAAGATAAATTCTAAATTGGCAGGCATATGAATTCAAACAATAAAATAACAAGCTTATGAATTAACATATATTAGGGAATAACCACACACTGGAAAAGAGAAAATAGAATGAGAACTGCACAAATTAGATAAAATTTTAAAATATGAACTTTTAAATTCCAGGGACCCAGGAAAAAAGGGAGGGCCCGGTGATCCAAACAAAATACATTGTTAGGATCCTGGGTAGAAAGAGGGTGCTCCTGAATGGGAGTCTGGATAGAATTTAAAGCTAGGTGAGGTTTAAAAAAAATTAAAATGCTAGTTGATTTGTATGCAAACAAGGGAGAGGACCAGAGAGTTTTTAAGGGATTCTAGGGAAAGCCAAAACTCCCTGTGCGAACTGTTAGCCCAACATAGAAGAAACTACAAACCTGCGAACCACAACACGAGCAAGAGAAAGCATTAGGAAAATACGAAGAAATTAGGGGAGATGAATATTTATGGTCTAGACAGGATTCATGTCAAGCCAGAAAGCTTGACTTTGAATAAAACACTGAAAAAGACTCATATCAGAAAAAGAGAAACAGCAACATTTACTGATTGCCTTAAGGGATCAACAGCAGCAGAAGAGACTGTTACCATCTTCCTTTTGCTCCCTTCCTCCTTTCTCTTGTACCTCTGTCTGAGAAGGACCCTACTCTCCTTATATAACATGGACTGGGGCCATGTAAAAAGACAAAAAGGAGGGCTAGCACCGCTCAGCGTGTTGTGGGTGAAAGACCATGAGCTTTGGGTTAGCCCAAAGCAGAAGCACAGCTCTCCTCTTACTAGGTGTGTGATCTTAGGCAAATCACTCAACTGCTCATACAAGATTAGGGTATGGTTTCTCTCTATATATAGATGATTCATTGAAGTTCTGTAATTATTACTCATTAGAATAAGAAGGAATGAAACTCATGTTCATTATGTTTGGGTTGTTATGTTTGGATTGTTACAGTAAATTAGAGAGTGTTTTGGAGTGGTTAACATAACCTGGTCATAAGAATATTTTAATTCTTAGATGTGTCCCCTAAGATAGAGTAATTGAAACAATAATAAAGTCCTTGTGTCTGAGTGGGTCTTAGGAGAGACTGAAGAGAGCAAAACCATTGGTCTGAAGTGATACCCTGCTCTGATGGCCAGAAGCTGAGCTGAGGGTACATGATGTACAGACCTGGCCTCAGGTAGGAGTACATGCTGAGAGGGTGCTTTGAGTCCCAACCTGATCTCTAGGACTTCCCCTGGCCAGAACAAGCTGTTGAAAATGAGGAGTTCGAGGTGGTCAATTAGCTGACGTGGTGGGGAGCCACATCCATCCTGGGGGAAAGACACAGACTGACAATTTCTTGCTTTGGACCACAGGTAGAAGAGGCAGGTGGGATTGGTGAAAAGGAAGAAGCCAGGAGTGGGAGAGCCATGCCACTTTTTTCTTTGCTGCTTTTTCCCCATGCAAATCCTAACTAGGATCAACCCTGCTTAGCTTCTGAGATCAGACAAGATCAGGCACATCCAGGATGGTATGGTCACAGACTTGTACTTTCTTTCTCAGTAAGTGCACGGTTCTCAGAGTGCCCAAATCTATCAAAACATATGGGTGAGAATTTATAATAGGTTGCTTTAACTCTTTGCTCCTCCTCCTGATGTTGGTGCTACAGCTCTTTCTTTGAAAGATAATCATAGCCATCGAGCACATTCTGTAAACAGAGAGCAATGTGGGAAGCTAGAATGAGCAAGAGTTGTTGGGATACAGAGCTCTTTCATCATAGAGAACTGCTGGAGTTAGCCAATAATCCAGGGTTGACCAGCTGTCCAGATTGGATGGCACATTAGGCAATGGCCAGATTGGTCTTCAGCATCCCTACGCCAATCTCTGTAGTTATAACCAGCACTTCCCCACTTAGGTTTGTAGCTCAGGTAAGCCTTAATTCTATGGGGTTTCACATGGTCCCTTGTCCTCTGATCACCAGAGTGACTAACTTCCCGTTTGCTTAAGACTTTCCTACTTCTAGCACTGGGTCCTGAGAAACCTCTCAGTCTCAGGCAAACTGGGATAGTTGTTCATACTCTACAACATGGTGTATTCAAGGGCCCCTCCTTAGACAGAATCCTGATGACATGGGATCCCTGGGACCTCACATGTTGGGACCTGAGAGCAGATTTGACTCCCTCGGCCACTGAACAGTCACCATTCACATCCTTGCCTCTTTGTTAATGCAGCAAAGCCTGGAATGCAAGAAGCACTGCCTCATAAGAGGTTTGCTAAGCTGATGAGGACATGCTGTTTCTCCTCCTGGGATCTGGTTTTGAATAGGATTATGGAACAAAAGGAGAAGATGGGGAAATAATTTGTCTAGATACAGTTAATTAGACAGTCATACCAATTTAATTTTGCAATGAAACAGATATCTTCTGCAACTGAAAGACAAGTGGTGAGGCAAAGCATCTGTTTAACAGTAAACAGAGCTGTAAGTCTGCCTTTGGAGTCTAAGACAAAAAGCAGCCACCTAGTCAGAGTGTAATTCATTAAGCTGGTCAGATTCCATTACTGTGAACTTCCTCCAACCCAGAAACAAGAAGAATATTAGCTAAGCCTTTTAATCACTTGTGTGTACAGAGATTTGCAACATGAAAACATTCGTTGCTATGGGATCCAATTGGTCCCAATTATGCCACACACACAAGTGATGCTAATACATTGTTGATTTGTTTCTGGATGCCAAAGACAGTGATGTCATGATTGAAGGTTCTTTACCTGGTTGGTGTATTTGTGTAAGAAAGTAAAATGAAATTAGTGGAGAAAATAGGCAAACAACCCATATAAATAAATATTTCAAGAATATCAAAAGCTCTGGACTCCAATTTGTGTTACTTGCCTAGAATCATGTTTATCAGAGATAAGCTTTAGTCAAAACAAAAGATTAATTTAGACCTGATATCACAAACTAGCAGCTCACAAGACAAAGAGGCCCAGACAGTTAGTGGCTGTTTCATTTTTAATTCAATTAGGGTTAAACATGGCAGATCAAACACATGTTTATTTTCTCTCCTGAAATGTCACTAAACAGTGAAGTAATAAAACTAGTATGCACTCTCCATGATGAAGAGAGTGGGAAGAGAGGTGGCAGAGTGCAAGAGATGCAAACAAAATTTTGGAAGACAGTGAATTAAGAAGTGGTGACTAATTCAGCAAAGAAAAAGGTGACATTAAAATACCTTCAGAGGGCAATAATAACAA